TAAATATATCTAAACATCTCTACTCAGTTTAATTAAATTTTCCCCTTGGAAATAATAGCATTCTTAAAGGAGTATATGTAATGGACTAGCATCATGCCCGAAACCCAGTTGTCAGTCACTAAGTGGTTATTATCAATAAACATTTAATCATGACACTTTGCTAATAGAAGTAAAGCAAGAAGATAGACACCCTGGGCTCTCTGGCAGATTGAAGTAGAGCATGTGGTCTGATTCTGTGTCTACTACCCATGGGAATGGTGACCTTAATTTGAGTGAGCTTGAATTAAGTGAGCCACGTGGCCCTTGCTAATTTAGGCCTAGTGCCAGGCTGCTTACCTATGTTGTATTAGTGCATGCTGACTTAAAGGAATAAATCTTTTTGGAAACTATTGCCATATTTAATGCTTTTCTTTGAGGCCTGGTTATTTCTTTTAAATATTTAACATTTCAGAAACAAAATTAAAGATATTTAGAAAAATTTCTTCAGCAAAGCCACTATAAAGAAATCTGTAAATAGGAATTTCTTAAATACTAACTTGGTATTAAGGAAGCAGAAATACTATGAACGTGAAAGCCGCTCATCCTATCTCCATCATATTACTTTCCCCAGCCTAATATTGTTCCCATAAATATTCATAGATTTTATATTTTTAACAGTTGTATAGTGTACTGCCATGTGTTTGCTTGGGCTGCCTTAATGTATTTTATTCTTAATGATTTCAGCCACCAAAATGGAAAAAAAAATCCAAGTGGATTAAAAAGAGATTTTTAAAGTATAGTTGAGCACAGATGTAAATTCTTTACAGTAACCACTCATCCAGTCCCTTAAATAGAATCCTAAAAATACAGTTGGCCTACATTCCGACTTAGAGAAGCATGTAACTTTTGTGCCTGCTATCGTGAGCTGTATAAAGCATTAAGCACACATTGGTGTGCTGAGAAGAAATGGCTTCAGCGCACTTTTTCTGCAGGAGCATGTTAGGTTATTATTATTTTTTTAAATTTAACTCCATTTGGTGATAGAAATGGTGAGAGGGACAAGTAGGATAGAAAATGATGGTGTTTGCTGGAGGGTGAGGAAGTCATTCTAGCAGTATTGCAAAGAAATTTAATTTCCCAGGAATTAAAATTGAAGGGCAAAATATCTGTCAAGAGGGATGTGGTTTAAAAAATTAAGGTATATATAGACAGTGAGGTACTATGCAATTGTTTAAAAAAAAAGAAGAAAACCCAACTAGCATGTACAGGTAAGAAGTGAGACAAAACTGTTGAGGAAAACAATACCAAATGTGAATGGGATATGCTACCTTGTATGTGAAAAAGGGGAGGATAAGACCATGTATTCATACTAGGCTGTTTTCGCATAAAAGAAGCTCTGGATGAGTACATAAGCAACAAAAAAGATTATTTCCAGTGAGAAGGGGCTTGGTGGTGGGAAACTGGGTAGATGAGGGAGGAAAATGGGAGGACAGCTTGTTCCTGAGTACTGTGTTCTGCATGTATATTAGTGCATTAGCTATAAAGGCTGACTTAACTCAAGGGTGAGAGACAGCAGATGCTAGTGATTAAAATGCAGGTTCCCCGGTGAATGCTGGCTTTACCCCTCACCGGTTGTGTGAGACCTTGTTCAGGCTCCCTCTCTGTGCCTTAGTTTTCTCACCCATAAAGTTAATTCTTGTTAAAGCACTTATTGTATCTGTCATATGGTAAGCTGCTGATGTCACCCGTAGTCAAAGGTTTAAAGACCAGTAATTCTCCATATTTCATCTCAAGTGTCGGATTTTTTGTCACACTTGTAAAAGTATTTGAGCAGCTCACCACATGTATGGCCTGTCCTTTGAGGAGTTCTGTGTAGTGGAGATGACTCCTGGGATTCACTGCATCTTGGAGCATCTTTCAGAACATCGTGACTGACACACACCTGTAAAGCACCTGTCTGTGCTTAGGGACAGGGGCTGTCTCAAGGAAATAGGGCACAAAATGGCTTTATTAGCTTGAAGGGAAACTGCATTATATCTTAATTGCCATCATGGATGTGATTATTTTCATTTCAGGGGAAATTGCGAGAGTGGTGAAACATCTCAGCCAAGGAAATGCAGCCTGGTAGGGAGGGACTAGCCGGTATTTGAGCCCAGGGCCGCCCGCCTCAGACTCAGCGAGCTCCTTGCAGAGTGGCCCTTTCAGCAGGGAGTCTGAGGGTCTGATTATAATGTCCAATTTTCTCCATTTTAAATGGGTTAAAGTTATAGGAAAGCATTACCTCAGAAAGGCTCTTATTTCATACACTTTGTTTTAAATTTTTCAATTTTGAAAGGTTACAAAAATGTGATTTTTTGTTGTTGTAACACCCACACATTTACATTTCCACTACTATCCAGAAATAGTAGAAACCAGGAGGTTTTACAGTGAGAACCTTTTCACTTAATAGGACATTTTATTTGGGTGTTAGTATGATGGGGTGGAAACTATTTAATCTAATATGATATTATTAAGTTTCATATGTGCACAGTCTGTTGGCATTTTTGCAGTATTGTTGCTCAGGCATTATTTTATTTTGGTACTATGGCTTCAGCCTTTTACCCTCAAGACAAAATTTAAAGATAATTTAAAAATGTGTGTCATTTTTTTTGTAAATGACATAAGTCAACAAAATCCCAGTGTCCTTGGTGTGGTTAAGAAGGTAAGACATGTATTTGCCCAAAACTGATAGGTGTTATTAAAATTTAAATTATAAAGAGAGTTCCAGAGAATGGGGCGAGGCAGGAGTTCTGGCTTTTGACCAGATTTGAATCGTGGCTTTGCTGCTTTATAGTGGACATCACACGAAGCCTCCCTCTCCTAATGGTGGCGCAGCAGTGTCATCAGCGTGCTGGTTGTCATCACACAGGAGATTGAGAAGGAGCCCTGTGCCGCGTCTGTCCACTTTGTTTCAGGCAGGGGCCTCAGACCAAGGCTGTGGACCTCGATATAACCCTCAGCAGCAAGGCCTGGGCTAAATTGCTTTTTAAGATGCTTTTGATGATGCCCAACAGTAAAGTTTTTGAAGCAAAGAAGGATTTTTCCTTTTATTAGTGACTGTCTTTAGTGTGTCACGGTAGATGTGAAAGTAATGAATGTTGGGTAGATGTGACAATTCTACCAGTGATTTTTAAAATTAAGTGTGAAACTAGTCAAAAGCCACTGCCACTGCCCAATAAAATTTAAAAGCTGAAACAGAGCCCTTTGTTTTCATTTTTATTTACCTGTTTTTTTCCTCAGTACTTCAGAGGTAATAACCCCACATATCTGCTGGCTTCCTTGGTTACTATTGGGGCGACTGATGTTCTCATTTATGGGCTTTTTTTGGGAAGGTAGTTTATTTTTTCTTATATTGAGGTACATGCAATAAAGTGAACAACCCTTGGTGCACAGCCTGACGAATTCTGGCATGTGTAGACACCCGTTAAACCATCACCCGAGTCAAGACATCAACATTCTTACTAATCTTTTCCTCGTTGTTGCTTGTTATTAAGCCCTTTGGTTTTTAAATTTTTACTTTTATAGTTACTTAAAAAGTAACTTAGCATCCTTATCTGCATATTTGCTTTTGGAAATAGACCCTGGGTGGTGTCTTTCTCACCTCCCTCTCCTCATTGTTATTTCTTCTATATAAACACTTGGCTTAGAGAAAGCAGAGCTCATAGCTGCAACTTTCCATCTGGTTAACATGTTTTTTTGAAGAATGTTGTTATTAAATTCATAAATACTTATTAGCAGGGGTTTGATAAAAAAATATTCTGAAACCTATTTGCTCTTGGTTTAATTGTGAAAATTATTCAGTTTTCTAAAATTGGAGAAAGAGATGCAGAATTTGTGCATTTCATATGTAGTTAAAATACATTTTCAAGCAAACAAGCTTTGAGTATGTATATATACTGTTCATGCAAATCAAATTTACATTTTCCAATGTTATGAAATCAGCTTTGTCAGTACCCATGATTCTAGCTTTTATGTTGGAAGGAGAATAGAGGATTAAGGCAGATTAGAGTGTTGGGATAATGTCGGACTCCTTGTATTTTGAGTGCTGCATACTAAAAAATGTGGACGTTACTATGGTGATACTAGCAAAAGCCTGAGCTTTCAGTTGGTATAGAGCTTAGTACAGTGCCTGTTGGAGCCATAGAATAATTCAGTTATCTTCTGAATCATTGCATTATGCCAGGGCTGACATCACCTGGATGTGTGAGGTTTCTGGTGATGCAGAATTGCCACTGCCTGTGAAGATTTGACCCAGATAATCAGTGTCTGGGGAGGACATCTGGGTCTCCTTTCGCCCTGCCCCTGATAGACATGGATTACACCCGGGAGGCAGGAGAATCTGCTGAAAAGAGTGCCATTCTGGAGTTCAGTAAGAATAAAAGCAACATTGTCATAGCTACCACCATTTATTGGATCAGCCTTATGTTCCAGGCACCATGTGAAGTGCATTATCACATTATCCCTAATGCATTTAAATGGCAGTTACTTCCATAGCATTGCTGTCACTTGCTCTGTGAGCTTATGATCTTAAGTAGAGCCCTTGGGCTCTCTGGACAGAGATGCTTTCAAAAAGGGTGATTTCTCATCGATGTTTGGAAGAAGAGTTCTGAGATCCGTGAGATTAAAGGCATTATGTTTTTATGGTAAAGGTACATTTTTGACACTCTAAAGTCTAAAAGCACATATTTGGCTTTGTTGTGATCCTGAGTGAGTTATTTTCACATACTAAATATCGAGTATTTGAATGAGGGTGACTTATAGCGATGACACTACTCTTTTTATTTTAGTATTAAATTTTGGGAGGTAGAGATTATGCTATTTTTGGTGAGGGTGAGAGTCATGGGCCACAGATACTTTCCCACTGGGACATGAAGTACAGGGATTTTACTAAGAGTTGCTGCCTGAGGATGTGTGTATAGGGAGGAGGAGGTAGAAGAATCTCAGGAATTTTTCTTATACTTTTTTCTTTTATTCATCTCTAGTCTTTACAACCTGGCTTCACTGGAACTGAGAGAGAATCTTCTTACATATCTTCCTGAGTGAGTCTCTTGGGAAAATAAGAGGGGATTTTGTACTGAATGAATTTCTTTAAGCATTAAAAAAAAAAATACAGTATCGCTTCAAAAAAATTATGTGTCTTGGAAAATTTGGGAGATGCCAGCCTTCTTTTAATAGTTCTTCCTTTTCAATATTTACTGGTATAAAATCTAAATGGGTCTTATTTTTGGAAACTAGTCCAAGTGAGGAATACCATATTGCTCAGCATTTCTAAGAACTAAGAGCCCCTTTTTTTTCTTCTTTTTAATAGTTCTCTTACTCAGCTGCGGAGACTAGAGGAACTTGATTTAGGAAACAATGAAATATATATTTTGGTAAGTCTGTATTGAAGAGAAACTTGAACTTAATTCTGTCCTTAGTCATGTTCACAGAATATTTTGTGGGGAGATCTGTACGGATGCTTAAACACCAGTACTTTTGAAGATATATTTGGCAACATTTCAGTTCAAGAGATGGAAAATCGTGATTTGTAGGTAGGGAGGACTAGGACTAGACATGAGAGGCGTAAGTGGGAACAACTGGCCATTTTGGAGAATGTTGGGGTTGCTTCTAGGAAGGGGGCTTAATATTGGATAAGTACCAACAAACATCTTTTATGGTACCCCGCTATTAACTATTGAATTAGCTGTCTTTCTTAATGGAAGACTAAAAATTGGATCTCTGTTACCATAACATCATTTTTTGTTTTAGCCAGAATCAATCGGCGCCCTCTTACATCTAAAGGATCTCTGGCTGGATGGAAATCAACTGTCAGAGTTACCTCAGGTAGGTGGTAATTTCACGTGGTTTTCCCCAAAACATAAAACAGCCACCAACACCACCCTCATCTGTTTCCTACTTCTACATGAGATTTTCTATTAAAGGGATCTTGAAACCAAAAAATTGGTTGAGAAAGCACATTTGGAAAAATACACTGAACATTCAACAGCTACATTGCCATTGAAAAATGGAAAGCTTTAACCCCCCAGTTCTAAAGATAATAAATACATCTTTTGTGAATTCTGTATTTTATTTCATCCTTGCTCTCCATGTGGCTTACTTCAGGGCCAGCAAGTCTGTAAATCACTGGGACCCCTGATTCTGATGGTTTCATTTCTGCCCCTCTTGTGATGTGCCAAGTGCTTTGGGATGATTTTGACCACATTTTGTCATGTAGTAGTTGATGAAATAGCAATGTTGAAAGTTTTTCATATTTTTCCACATATTGCCAGCGGTTTAGCTGTTATGTCATATGTTTTTTACTCTTACCAAGTGTGAGAACCATGTTCTAAATGAAACAGTCTTGTGTAGCCTTCTAAGTACATAGTCATCTGTGGAGTTCTGTTAGGTAGGCCTGCCTTCTGATTACATGAAAGAGAAACCTAAACAAACTCACAGAACAAACAAAAAAACTTTTTATATTTTTTAATATTTAATATATTTTTTATATTGTTAAATACTTTTTATATTTGTACTTACATTTTTTATATATTTTTCCCCTTGTTTTTCTCTGTTACTGAATTGTATCTTCAGTATATATTATTCTTCAGTATGTCTTAACAGCTAATCTGTAACGTTAGGATTTATTTCTTTAGGTGACCTAGATGCTTGTATTTGAAATTAACTCCAGTTGTGATGGGACTGTGCCCTGGAGGCAGGGAATGCCCTGTCAGCGCAGGGTAGTTTAACACTGGAGGGAAGTACTTATGTAAAATTGTGATTGTTGTAGTTAACGCTGGAGTTACCATGACATCACTTAACGACTGATGCAACTAGGAGATAATCAGGATCTGTTTCTGAGGTGTTGGCTGCATTTGGGCACAGGAGACAGATCAGCAACTGATATGGGTGAGGATTTGATTGCTAGTTAGAGTTCTCTAGGAAATTATGAGAAATCCTCGTTGAGAGAATTCTAGTTCAGTAGTCAAAGGTGGGGGAGGATAAAAGCACCACAAGCTTATTAGGAAAGTAATAAAACATAAGCTATGGGACATGAGGGAGAAAGGGTATATGTGTACAGATGTGCCTAAATGATTTTGTGCAAAATACCACATCCTGAACACACAACTCCAATGGTCCTGTTACAAGTGGTCATTTAAACACCTTTTTTGCCCCTCTTGTATAAACTATTAAACCAGGGACAAATGTATCAGTCCAAGATAATCACAGTTATTTTCCTGTCTTCATTGATGATAGAAAAAGCTACAAAGACATTGTTAAAAGGAATCAATGAAAAAGTAGAACAACTTCAGGGGTTGGGGCTGAAATTTTAAAAAAATGTAGTCTGGTTTTCTATAGACAGGAAATACAGGGGCGGGGTCACAGAAGATAAGCTAGAAAGAATAGAAGAGGCCAAATTAAGTACAGATTGAGAAATGTGTACTAGATGAGAGGGTCATAGGAGTAGGAATTTAACGTACTGGCAGAGGCAATGCAAAAATGGAGGCAGATATAAGAGAAAGTGCATTTTGTGAATGGAAGGTAGGATACCTTTTGGATAGAAAGGTAGACTTGTTGAGATACTTTCCCTGCTCCTGTATAAACTGTTTTCATTAAAAGCAGTATACATCTCTGTTCTGTTGATATTAAAGATTAAAGGTGTCAGTGGGTCTGTATGCTCCAGTATTGCTGGGGAACAGTTGTCTTGATGTTTGTTGTAATAAGTACTTCATAGGAGATATAAAGTACAGTTGACCCTTGAATAACAAGGGTTTGAAGCTTGCAGGTCCACTTATATGTGGACTTTTTGCAGTAAATATGTTTTAAAGTTTTTTGGAGATTTGTGACAATTTGAAAAAATGTTTCTTTTTTCTAGCTTACAGTGCAGCATATAATACATACACAAAGTGTGTGTTAATCAATTGTTTGTATTATCAGTAAGCCTTCCTGTCAACAATAGGTAATTAGTTAAGTGTTTGGGGAGTCAAAAGTTATATGTGAATTTTCAACTGTGTGGGGAGTTGGCCCCCTAAACCTGCATGTTATTCAAGTGTCAAGTCTAGATTTTTCCTTAACAGGGAAAATCTCAGAGTCACCCTAAAATGTAAGCTCCTTATTAAGTAATTGGTTCTAAACTTGAAGAACTGAATTCTAGACTCCTTTTTTTTTTTTTTGCCTAATTGCATTACCGAAATATCATTTGTTCTCTCTTGGTGCCAATCTTTTCATGTACTGAGTGAGAATTATTCCTTGCCTGCCTAAAGTTGGGAGGCTTGGCCTTCCTCCCAGCTCCATGTATATGATTCATACAGCTTCCCATTTTCATTGGAATGGGGTCTGGAAATTCTCTCCAAACTTCACATTTAGATAGACGCTAAAGAAACGTCCTTAGGATGACCTTGGGATTTGCTTGTGAAATCACTAAGAAATTCCTCTGTACTATGGCAGGTTGAAGCATGAATTTCTTTTTCGATATCATTGATGTAGGAAATAGGAAATCTGAAGAGCCTGCTGTGCTTAGATGTATCTGAAAACAGGTTGGAAAGACTTCCTGAAGAAATCAGTGGCCTGACTTCATTAACAGATTTAGTCATTTCCCAGAACTTACTAGAAATGATTCCGGATGGCATTGGTGAGTATGGATTATAATTAACGACTGTAGGCACAGCTGTTGCTTGAGCATTTGGAGCACAGTGATCCACAGTTACCACTCTCAGATGCTGGGGATGTGGCTCCTGTGGTCTCCTCGTTGTTTCTTTGTTTCTAAAGGAAGAAGGAATGCAGAGACTATTTACTACAATGTAAGTTTCCCTATGTGTTGATATTACTGTCATCCTGGCTTGGTAGCAGTTATAGCAATTATCACTTATAAATATTGACTCATATCTATTTCATCCACGTCTTGTCTCATTGATTTCAGTAGAGATTAGCCCAAATAATAAAATGTGTTTCAGGTATGTGAGCGATCACTAGGGAAGTTCTAAGTGAGCATCCTGCACAGGTAATGAGGAAGTAAATTGAGCCATACTACATGACCTAGGGAAGGGCTCTAAAAGGGAACTTGAGCCTTTTCCTAGTACATTGAGAATAATCTTTTCCTTTAACCATCCTCTGCTGTTCCTTAAAAAAAAAAAAAATTGACCCAGACATTTCCTTTACCATAAAGGAATTGAGTCCAGTGTGAGAAAATATATGCAAACAGAAGGTATAAACAAGCATGGGCTGGCAGCTCCACTGTAGCAAAGCCACTTGGAAGCTGTTGAGAACCTGTATTCAACCATATAGTTGTCATCAGATTGCCATCTTTGATTTTCATTTAACTTTTATTCAAAACATGAAAGATTTTCAGTAGTTGGCGAAGCTCTCTGACCGAGGACCACTTCCTTTCTTGTATTTGGTCAAGATGAAAGTGGTACCTGATAATAGCAACTCAGTGGGAATACAGACATTGCGTTTAGTTAAGTCTGGCTGGAACATTGATGGGGATTTTGACTCTTGAGTGTAAGTGTTCAGTGAAAATCACACATGGCATCTGAAAGCAGTTGTAGGGACTGGGAATGTTCTGTTGGCTTGTAATAAGAAGCAGGGGGCCTGCAATGGCTGACTTCAAGCCATTCGAAAGGCTGTCATGTCGAAAGAGGAAAAGATGTATTTATTATATCTCCCAGTTCAAATGGATGAAATGTGAGGATTGTGGATCTCAATCTGGTTTAAGAAAGAGCTTTAAAACAAGTATTTGTTACAAATTAGTGTGGGCTGCTTAGTGAAGAATGAGTACCCCATCACTAGAAGTATTCAAGGAGAGGCTACAAGACCACTGCCAGTGACACTGTTAAGGAGACCTCTCTGGGGTGTGATGTGTCAGGTGGAAGGGTCAGCCCTTCAGGGAATGCTAATGCGCCTCTGACAGCGAGGACGGGTTCACCCAGTGGGGCCATGGTGGCAGGTTACTGATTGTGCTGAGGACAGGGCTTCAGAACTGCTTAGCTCTTCTGCCTTGCCCACCAGGCAGGCCCATCTATCCTTTCAGCGCCTCCTTTTCTCCAGCTCCATGTCTCTCTTAAGAGAGAGGCTGCTTTCTGGCGTTCCTGGAGAAAGTGCTGTCATGCTCCTGCTCTCCCCGTCTGCACTCAGTCCCCTGAGGTGTAGTCGGAAACGAGAATGGGAATGATTTACGATTTCCTTCACTCAGGTGGGACTCTGAGGGGGCTACGGTAAACCCATTCTCGTTTCCCACGGCCTGAGGACCTCACCTGTGAGTCCAGCCTTACTGCCCTGAGTGAAGTAGGTTCAGTCCCTCATGTGGCTTTTCAAAAATTACCACCCTATTCTGTGTGTACAGAAATGCTACATTATCAGGATCTTCACTGAGTCATTCTCCTTCATAGGTGATATAATAAACTATATATACTCTATTGTTTTTTGTTTTAAGTAAGGATGATTCTTGGGGTAAGATAAAAGTCTCCCTCCTTTGTGTATGAAACATTTGCTCATCTTAAAGATCCATCAAAAGTCAAGCTGTTTGTTTTTTCCTTAAATTTTCTGGCTTTGATATGATATTTTTAATGAAGTGACTTCTAAAACGATTTGTTTCTAATTGCTGACAAATTATTTTAATTCTCAACCTTTCACGATCTAAATGAGAATGACGTTCTATAATGTGAGGCGCTGGGTGAGGGAAAAAAATGAGTAATGGTTTAAAACAAAAAGAACAGCAGATAGGAAATACCAAGTGATGATTAGGGAAACAATTGTAACTAATGAGCTTAACTACTGCTTTTTACAGGAAAACTAAAGAAACTGTCGATCTTGAAGGTGGATCAGAACAGACTCTCACAGTTGCCTGAAGCAGTTGGGGACTGTGAAAGCCTCACTGAATTAGTTCTTACAGAAAACCGACTCCTGGTGAGTGTGGTTTGCACGTACAAATGGATACTTACAGTGTGCATTTTTATCATAAAGACTTATTAGGGTAGATTCTACTTACTTGCAGTTTGGGTGGACTAAATGGGCACTTCTTTGTTGCATCAGAAAAAGGGAGGTGAAGCAAATGCAATACATGAAAATGCTCAGTTTTTAACCTGCCTAAGTGAAGACAGTGATATTTAGGCTCTTTTGCCAGTGCATGTGCGTGTCCCACTTGTGGTGCTTTCAGTGCAGGAACTGATTGGCACCTCACAGAAGTCCCCAGGAAGATGTAGGGATGAGCCACCATTGGTAAACTTGCTGGTACCTCTGCCATGGTGTCCACGGACTGCCAGAGGAAATGTCCTCTCTGGGTTCTCTGAGCAAATGGGAAGAGGTGGGGAGAGGAGAAGAAATGGTGGTTAACCTCAGTGGGGCTGGGGCAGGAATGCCCTTTTTGGGGCTGGGCTTCTGTCTGTGATCTTACCCCATCCTAGAAATCAGGGGTGGAGGTAGCTGCAGGTGTCTCGCACTCCCACCAAGGGCAGAGGCCTCAGCGTGCACCTCGCGCCGTGGTGGGTCAACAGGGTGCTGGCGCCTCTCGGCTGCCTTCTCCCTTCCTGCCGCCGTGCGCTTCCATCAGCCCCTCACCTGTGACTTCATCTTCTCCTCTGCCCCTCGTTTGATTGTCTGTAGCAGCAATTTTTTTCTTCAGTTTACTTTCCTACCTTTCTCTTTTCTTTTTTTCTATCTTCATCTCATCACTCTATTTTTTGCCCTCCTTTTCCCGCTCCTTCTGCCTCTTCCTGGGGAAAGCCGCCGCCTCTGGCAGGTGTGCTGGAAGTGACCAAACCTTCCTGCCCTAGTTTGTGGTTTTGGGCATACAGGTAGCAATCGCAATGGTTGGGGAAATTGTATTCCCTGCTGGATTCCATTAGTGTCGAAGACCGTGCTGTGGGCCCGGCGTTCCTGCAGGGTTCGTGCTGCCCCCCAGCAGCCCCGGCACCCTTCCTCTGTCCCCGCAGCGGCCCCCCCCCAGGGCTCGATGCCCCGCCCGGTGCTCTGGCTTCCATGCCCCTCCAAGCTCACGTGGTTCTCAGAGGTGCAGGCAGGGCAGGGATGAATCTTGAGGGTACAAGTTCCTTCTTACTTGAGGCGAAGAGCATTCATTACCTCTTTACTAGGTGTTTCTCTGTTCCCAGGTCTGTGTCTTCGGCTTCACTTTGTTGAAACATACTCTCATTTCAACAAAAATGTCAAAATACTTAATTCCGTATTTCCTAAGTGAGCTTTAAAATATCTGATATTCAGGAAGAACTATCATACTTCTGTTGCTGGATGAGATTATATTCTTCAACTCCTTGAAAAGATCTGTTTTGCTGTGAGCAGCACTAAAAAATATGTGTTGATAATAAAAATGTTGTTTTAACAGACTTTACCTAAGAACATTGGAAAACTTAAGAAGTTGAGCAACTTGAATGCAGACAGAAATAAATTAGTGTCTTTACCAAAAGAGGTATGTGCTTTTAAAAATAATAATAATTATTATAAATGATAATGCATACAGTAGCAAAAATGTCAAATACTTTAGAAGACTTATGTGGTACTTTTTAAAGGTTATATACTCTCCTCTCTGAGTGGAGAGATGGTTGGAGGAATTTATCAAAGAATGGTTATCAGTAACATTAAAGAGAGTAGGTGGGTCCAGATGACTGTGAGTGAGCAAGTGCTGAGAAAAGTGAATAGATAGGATTTTAGATGGGAGAGAGATTGATGTTTTGGGTTTGACGTACAGGAAGTGGGGACACCATTGACAGAAATGGGTGGGAGTCTGGCAGAAGTGGATGACTTGAGGTTTGATTGAGTATAATGTGAAATTAAATTGCCCCTTATATAAGCCTTTGAAATTAGAAAACGGGATCTCAGCTCTGTTCCCGGGCAGAGGCTGACACTAGACAGCATTCATGTCTGGGAGAGTGTGAAGGAACTCTTCATGAAGGTGTTCACATAGAGGAAGGCAGTGGGAAGCTATAGCCAGACTCTTAGGACATTTTTCGTCAGTGCTCCATGCAGGAGAAAAGAGAACAGTGACCATCTGTGGTGGAGCAAGCTGTGTCAACTCAGAGGCATTTAAGTTCTGGCAAGGGAGGGAAAACGCCAAGAAGGAGAAAGAAGCCCACAGTAGATCAAACAGGGAGGCATCTAGTGTGTTGTTTAAAAAGAAGGCTTACTTTCTGTTTAGAGCTAGCAAGAACTTGATTGGAGATGCATAGTACTGAGCTTGATTTTTTTATTAGTAGTATAACCTAAAACTAAGTTTAAGTCACCTTTTTCCCTGCCATCAAATGCTGGTGAGCCCCATCCCCTTTGCTAGGGCCTCACATAAGAAGGTGTGGTATTGTGATAGCATCACTGGCCAGGCGTGGATTCCTTTGTGGATTTCCGTATTTTGAGTCTCTCCTACATTTATCTTGAACCTGAGTAAGATGACCAATGCTCTTCATATAAATGAGGATATTATTATAAATGTGGCCATATTCTGACACATGCTTAATCTGAACACTGACATTTAAATAAAACTGTTTCCAACAGAAAGGCGTAAGTCTACATCTTAGCTAACCTGGGACACAAGGCAGGGATTCTGCTACTCAGAACATTTTGGTTCCAGTCTCAAAGAGATAAACAAAAACACAGAGCCGATACCCTGCACATTAACTTTAATCTTGCTAAATAGCGCATGTAGATGGGACATGCTAAGCACATGCACAGAGAGGTAGGAAAGACTGACTGCTCCTTTCTCTATGCCACGTACCATCCTAGGTGCTTTCAGGTATGTTAGTTCATTGGGTCCTCACAACAGCTTTTGAGGTCTTGAGGGAAATGTCCTCATTTTACAGATGAGGGAACTGAGGCCGGTGAAAAGCCTTCCTCAGTAGGGCTTACAGAGCTGGGAGTCTGTTAGCATAGGCTCCAAAGATGCATCTCCCGACAGCCAGCCCACTGCTCTTTTGCTGGCCAGTAAAAGTGGGGCCACTCAGACAAAAATTCTGTCCGGCCTTTTCATCTCTCTAGCCTTGAGGTAAGGCAGGACCTTGATTCAGTAAAGAGCAGTCATTTGTCTTTAGTTTGGATGTTTTAGAAAATTAATACATTTTAGGAATATTTTCAAGGTTAATGCCAAAAAGAACACTTTTAGGTTTAATATTAAATCCCCAGTAAGTTTTACCACCCACCCCCAGCTTCTCTGTTCCTCTCTTGATTCTGTCTTTTAAAGGAACATGTTCTAGATCAGAACTTTAGAATTTCGTTTTTGTAGAACTGTTACCATCATTTTAGCATCAGTCCTGTTTTCATTTTAAGAGAGTGAAACTTGTACTCAAGTGTTTCCATTTAGGGACTTATATGTAGCACATGCTGTGTGTCCATTACATTTACTAGAACAGCTTTTCATGATTGAAAAGTGAAAGTATTGTGGAAATATTTGTAGCTTCAAAGCATTTTAGTTAGCTATCATGTTTTATTCATTTCCTATGAAATTGTGATTGGTTTTTCTGGCATCTAGAGTTCTGTAAGTGAGTGAAGTCTAAGCCTTTTCCTTCAGTAGCGAGATAAAGCAGAGAATGTTTAGGTTTTTAGGAATCAGATCTTTCTAGCACACCGTCACTCCTGCTCATACACATACTGAGCTCCCAAAGCAGGAAATACATGGAGCACATGTCTCCAGTTCTGCTTTGGGTTACAATTGATAACCCAGTTGGGACTGAGCAGCCAGACTCCCGAGGGCCTCCTGACCTTGAATTGCGTCATGTTGGTCTGGATAGCACCTTCGTGCCTGCCATGAGCCTGTGCAGTGATTGTGGTAGGCCTTGTGATTGTGTGCGTGTGTGTGTGTGTGTGTGCGTGCATGGGTAGGGAGGGGGCAGGCCTAGTGACCGTGCTCACATATACCTGCTTTACCTCCAAGCTTGATACCGTTTGACCAAATCCTGCACTTTTCTGATTGGATTCTTTTCTTTCAAAACTTTTTTCTTTCTTTTGAACAATTACGTTGCATGCGTGACATATCCAAACTGAAGTGCTGACCAATTCAAGTTATACGCTAAAATCCATAGTTGTATTAATTGCTGTTGGTCTGGTTTGCTGTGTAGTCCTTATGTTTTGTCTTTTTTAATTTGATAGTATTGTATATTATCAGTTTTATATAGCACAGCTCCTTAGTCTGTATAGCAGCATTTATTTGTATTTTTTTTCCCCAAATGTTTTAGGGGAAAGTGTATTGTGTGGATCACAACAATAGGTTCTGTTTGTTTTCTGTGTTGTTATTTGTGGTAAACATTTGCAAATCAATGAATGTTTCTTATTTTCTTAATTGTTAGCTGCTTGGAAATTTAGAAATGTCAGGAAAACATGTTATCTTGTAAGTATTGTTCAGACCACACAATTGCATCTCTAACTTCCATTTTGCTTCCTTAATGCATGAAGATTCAAATTGGCTGACTACTTTATGTGTTCTTTGTTGTAAAATATTGGATGTTTTCCTCCTGAACTCAGACTTTTTTAAATGACTGCATGGCCTGGAACCTTATTTTGTTATGTGTTTGTCAGATTTGTTTAGGTTATTCTTTCTCAAAAGAATGCTTTTCTATAAATTACATTTTAAGTTATTCAGAAATTCTGAAAAGCATAGTAACTTGGAAGCTCACCTAAATTTTAGTTTGTATGCACGATTCCCTCTCTAATGGAGAGGATAGATTTGCTTTCTTTGCTACCTGTGGCTTGCTTCTAATTTTTCAAGCAACTTATTTGTATCTTTTATTTCTCATCCTGTTGCTTAAGTATGTATGTTTCTGGGAAAAGGAGGTTCCCTAAAAAACTCGTATTTTTGGTGGAGGGAAGAATTAAGAAGAGACAGTGTTGTAGTATGATTCATGGATAGACAGGGAGTTGGTATGTGAGTGTGAGTGATCATGGGTATGATGAGAGAGAGCCAATACCTTCATAATATTCCCCAGCCAAATCTGACCCTTAAACAACCTGGACTATACTGAGTTTCTACCTGGAAGAAACTGAGCACATATCCAAGTAGAGTCCAGTCCTTTGTCTCCATCAAGTCAAAATGAAAGTGACCATGACTCTGTCACTCTTATCCAGTCAAATGTGACAAAAGAGAGTTTGCAGAGCATTCATCAGAGCGTTTCTTTATCAGGCAATGTGTGAACATTAGTTGAGGCATAAATATTAGTGTGATATTCAGAAATGTCTGTGGTGATGGAGAAAACCATTTTGTGGATAGCTTTCTGCCTTTTGATTAGCCCACTTAAAATTATTTTAGTGTGAATTCCCGTAATATTCTAAAATGAATTATTGATAAAAGATAATATAAGACCTAAACATACTAGTAAGATATAGTTGACTATGGGATTTCAAAACGGAGAAGGCATTCCTTAACTTAAAAGAGAAAATAAGTTGTAAAAGAAACATTTGAGGAATTGTTTACATGAAAATTAGATTTCTGATCTTTAAGAAGTTAAAGACAGCCTGAGGTCAGGGAGACATTTACAACATTACAAATGAAGATCTCTCCTTATTCTATTAGAAATCCTTTCACGTCTTTGAGAAAAAGATGTTCCCATTCTAGGTAAGTGGGCAAAAATAAAAACAAAGAACCTCCTACAAAAACCAATATGTGATTCATAGAGGAAAAAATAGAAATGGCTATTAATATGCATACATTTTAGCCCCTTCAGTATTCACAGAAATGTTAATTAAAGCGTATTGAGATATCAGATTTTCAAGATTGTAAAAAATGATGCCAGATGTTGGCGAGGATACAGGAAAGTGCATATTGCCATGGAATTACAAATTATTATGGCTTCTCTGGAAGGGAAAATATGGTAATATCATAAAAAACTTTAAAAATGTACATACCATTTGATTCTGCAATTCGACTATTAGAACTTTATCCTATGAAAACAACCATAGGTATCCATTAAAAATGATGCACAAGAATGTTTCTCATAGTATATATAGGGGTAGCCAGCAGGCTCCATATACCATGCCAAGCAGGTACAGGGGCAGCTCACCTTTACCAGGCACTGTGCCAAGTGCTTTCCTGCTGCTGCCTGTCTAATTTTCACAATAGTTCTGTGAGGTGTCGGTAAATCATTATCAACATCCAACAGATTGTGAAACCAAGACTCAGAGATATTAAGTAACTTGCCCAAGATCACACAGCAAAGAAATAGCAGAACTAACTAGCAGTGTCTAGTATGGGTGATTTGTTGAGTGACCTGTGGATCATCTCTAGAATGAAATAATTATGGGGTCAGTAAAAATCTTTTTAGAAACATAATAACATGGGAAAACATTATTGGTATCATATGTAAACAAAGGTATTAAAGGTCATAGTGTTGGTCCTAATTTTTAAAAAATGTGTATGTATATAATCACAAATGCATGGCAACAATAATGAAAGGTTGTATTAATATTGATTATCTCTTTGTGGCAGGTTTTGGT